GACTTAATTATTTTAAAACTGCTTAAATTTAGTATCTAAGGCTTATGGTCATGTTGCTTTTCTGTGATGGTCGGACTTGATTATTAAATTAGTTTTAAATGTTGAGAATGTGTGATCTATCATTGTACATTTCAACTAATGACAGATAAACCAGATTTTTCAGTCAAATCAATTATGCAAAAGCATGAGATCTGCAGTTGGGTGTTAGAAGTATTTCACTTTCGGTATGACAGGCTTGCACATATATCCTACTTGGTCTTAGCTATTTCATTGATTTTCACATTTGTATACCATCATCCATCTGAATTTGCCGTCCATTCAGACAAACAACATTCAATTAATATATTATTTTTGCCTGGATATCTATTTGCCAAATACTGAATTCAAGGGTTTATAATCCTGAAACCGCACTGAAAGAAATTGCAAAAGAAATGGGAAAATATTAGCCAACTAAATTATTGACTACCACACAATATTCAACTAACTCAAAGGAAATATTCGATAGTTAAAAGACATTTTAAGAAGCTTCTGGGAACGACAGAATGTATTTGCACGGCAAATAGTTTGGCGTGCCATTTCGGAAGGTCGACTTAGAGATTGCCGATTTCCATTCAGTGAAAGGAATCATTTCAGCTGGAGCCGGTCTGATTTTGCCCTCAATCATCCACGACGATATCTCGTTAAGCATCTCCATGCGTTTTTCCATAGTCATAGAAACATTTTCACGCCCAGGAAGCCAAAACCCACGTATGTGAATGTCATTAAAGATGAGATAGTTGACGTGAACTGGAATTGGCTTGCCCAGCATTCCTCCGTAGTTCACAAACGTTCCAGATGGTTTAAGGTGGTCCAAAATCGTTAAAGCGGCCTCTCCACCTAGACAATCGTATCCAGTACAAATTGGACCGTATTTCGATAGGTCCTTCATTCCTTTCAATTCCTCTTCTGTTACTGCCAGGGTGGCGCCGAATTCCATCAGAGCTCGACGTGTAGCTTCTGTCTTTTCTGGGGTATCCCTTGCCCTAAATAGATTAACTAAAGACAGCATAGTTATACGAGTTTCAACAAGTTACTTGAGTTCACACCCATAAGCTTGCACATCTGCATTAGATAAATAGCAGAAGTACTAGTCGCCCCATTCTGTATCACACAATTTCCAGGTTTTAACTCGACGAATTTCTTCAAAAGTAAATACGCCGTGCATGGATTCACGTCGATTACACAGGCTTGTTCTAAGCTGAGTTTA